CAAAATAAGAAGATCCGCGCTCCTCGTCCCACCGCGTCTCGTCTCCCTGTCTCCCCGCGGAGACAACGTGACGGAGAAGAGGCCGTATAACCTTTGGGACCGTAACCCCGTTATATTATTACATTTAACAATGGCCCGTGCTCTTTATTCCACAACCTGTTTCCGGAAGCTGTCTACCGATCTACCTTTTTTTTTTTTTCTCCTCCTATGATGAACACCTTCCTGCGTCCATCCTACGAGATTTGAATTGCCACGCGAGGATCAAAGAAAAAAGAAAAAAAAAAATTGATGTGTATCTCCTTTCTATTTTCGAATTTTCAATTTTATTCGAATTTAATTAACGTTGATTCGGTTCTAATCTCTTGATCTTCGTTCGAGCGTGCATCCAGGGAAGCGATTCCACGGGATTCCAGAGAGAATTCGTTTAGAGAGAAGCGCGTAATGATAACACGGAGGGGAGGGGGGGGGGGAAAGGAGAAAAACTTTCTACTTATTATTTAATTGGGGAAACGGAACGGGGAGAAAAGGATGATGAATTGAGAAAGGAAAGATCAACGCGGGTTGATCTTTTTGAGCAAAACATATAGGGGATAAATTATTTATTATGATGTAAGCGCAATTCTTTTTACAAGTTATACGCGCACGCGAAAGCATAAGGAGAGCATGAGCAGAGAAGAGGTATTAAGCGCAGCCGGGCTCCCGTGTAACGCGGTTAACGCGTTACGCGCTATATGAATTCGAGTTGTAGGAAGCAACTCGTGGATCGTGTTTTTCACGTTCTCAGGAAGAAACGATTTAATGCTCGACCAAGGAGGATCCGAACTCTTAATTAACTCGAAATAATTCCTGTTGTTTTATCGTCTCTTACGAAGAATAATATCTCGATCGATATATGTTCAATGCATTGCAAGACGATTCATTATTCAAATTCAAGATTATATGAAAATCGAATCGACTGTAATAGCTGTAAACGAAGAATAAATACTGACTTTTCTTTTTTCTTTCTTTTTTTTTTTTTGATAATAGATTTACAAATTTAATAATAACCCATTTACTCGTAATGATGATCAAGTGTATGGAGGATCGAAACGGTTGCAGCTCGTTGCAGTAACGAAGTAAGCAAGCACGCGGAATACGGACGTGGACCCCCTTCGAGTTGCCACACTTAAGGTGAAATAAAAGTAAAGAAAACGGGCACGTAGAGCACAACGTGAGAGGAGATCCGGATACACGGGACACGCAACGCAGATCTCCTGCGCGTGGTTCCTGATTGGCTGGCTCACATAAATACCGCGGAGGGTACGTTTCGTTCAACAGTATATTACAGCCTGATTATTTCGGACGAGAAGACTTGCCAACTTTCACCTTGCGAATGTCGATATCGTTCCGCTTCGATTAAACTTCCACGAGAATGGCAAACTTCATCGCCAATGATGGTCATTTCGGTTTACACACCTCGTAAATAAACCGTGTCCAAATGCTAGACGAAGAACAAGGAGCGTGAATTCATCGATTTTATTATTTTCTTTCCCATTTTTCTTTTTACCGATCCAATTTGTTCGACGAGTAGATTTTAGATCTCATTTTATATTTCGATTATTAACTCGATCGATCGAGAAAGAACATTTGGATATTTCGTTGTTTTAAATGTTAATGGAAGTAGGGTAATTGATTGAATCGTTGACGGGGAGATAAGGAGAGAAAGGAGAGAGGAGATCATGGGAAGTAAAACGAATCGGCAACTTCGTGAATACGGTAACAATCGTTTAATCGAACATGAGTTTTCTTTTTCTTTTTTTTTCCTTTTATAATAAAATCCACATTTTTCTGACTTTATACAAATTACAAATTCGCAGCCACCCGACCATTGCAACACAGGATACAATGTCAACGAGAATTCGTGGATCGAGTAAGGAAGGACAATAAGAGATAGATAAGAAAGTATCGATTGGTTTCTATTTATATATAGATCGGGGAAAAAATAGTTGATAAAGTTGAGTATTTCTCCGGGAAATTCGAATGTTGTGTATTGTCAACCTCCGTCGGTCGATCCATCGAAGGCTCGTGGTCCATTTCACGACGATAATATCTCTAAATACGCATAATTCCAAGGGATCGAATTTTCTTGGAGGGGGGGGAAAAAAAAGGAAGGAGAAAATTAGGAAGAACAGAACGAGACAAGTAAGTAATAAAATAACAAGGACGAGAAGTTAAAAAAAAAAAAACCCGTAACAAACCTCGACAGATACAACCGCCAA